GCAAGGGTGCCAGAGGAGATGAGCCTGCCCAGGGTGACTGTTCGACGGCAAAGCCGCACGTTGCAGTGCCCTCTTCCCCTCACTTGGATCTGTTCCCTCAGGACCACAGTCCTGGATCACAGCTCCAAGAGAAACTTCACATGGCAAAAGACTTTCTACCTGCTGCCCTCATGGACACGACCTGGTCCTCTAGTGTGTCCCCACACACCATGGCAATGGCAGGAGAGCTCTCCTCACACTTGGCCCTGCTGTGCTGACTGCAGGCACTGCTGCCTTGGCTCCCGGAGAAAACTCAGCCCTTTCCCAAAGAAGAGCACAAGGAGAGAGGAGGAGTGATCGTGATCCCACTGCTGAAGCGAAGAGCCAGGGGCACAGGCTGGAGGAGCTGTTGGAGGCTCAGAATAACCTCACCGGACACACCACACTCTTCCCACAGCAAAGGGGAGCCAGGGATTGTGGTGCACACTGAACTTCCCTGCAGCCATCACCTCAGGGCTGTCGGGCTCTGGCTCCATCCCCTGGCTTACCCCACATTCCTCCCAGCCCTGGCTCCCTGACAGGCTCCTGCCAGCGCGAGCAGGTTGCGGCACCGCTGCCGCTTCCCGCGGCTCCCACCGTTACTCAGCAGCCGAGGGAACCGCTCAGAGCTGCAAGGTCACTCAAAAACACCATCTGTCCAAGCACCACTCCTCGCCTTGGGGAGAGCAGCAGAGAAAATATTCCAGTGTGCTGAAGGCCATTGTCCCCCTCTCTGCTGCCCCGCTGCGTGTCAGCACCTCGCGGTGCTCACTCGGCCTTGGCTCAGCGAGGGGGAAACCACAGCATCAGTGTCTGGGGGAACGCCCCAAAGGCTGGGGCAGCCCCCCACTCCCTCCACACCATGAGGGCACCCGAGGCTCCAGGAGTCGATGGGGAACCCTCTGTGTGCTTGTCACGGGGTGATGCATTTGGTGTTGAGGAGAGACCGCCTGTGCTGGCCAGAGCCACTGCCAGCTCCCTGACCCCTGGCTGGCAGCCTCTCCAGTGCCATGGAGGGGGGGCAGTGCTGGGAGCAATAGTGGGGGTGCAGCTTACCTTGCATGGGGGCAACAAGCCACAGGAGCACCCCAACACTCCCAGAAATTGCCAGCTCCAGGTCCCCTCTCCCAGCACTGCCTGGGGACTATTTCTGGTGAGCTGAAGTCACTTGCACTTGGGCTCTGAAGTCACATTCGTCTCTGCTTGTGCTACTTCTCCTGCACCTCCAAGTGTCACAACACGGTGCTATCTCTGTCAAGGTGGTTGGCCCCTCGTGCCATGTCCCAGATGCTCCAGGACAGCACAGCACAGCACAGCACAGCACAGCACAGGGCTGCCAGCACCGGCGGGGTGCACCGAGGGACTCACACCCGGCCCCAACAGTAAATAAATGTTTCATCTCAGCCCATTTACAAACCCAACCCTGTGGAGTGCGCCCAGGGCTTGGTGGAACATCCCTCTACGCAGGGCAGGGGCAGTGCCCAGCTGTGCCCCTCATCCGTGGGCATCCCAGCAGCTCCTTCCCACACTCGCCAAGCCCCCATGGCTCCATCCCATCTCTGCGTGGCCCCCAGCTGTGGTGCTGATGGCAGAGGTGGGAACTGCCCCCAGGGCTGCCCTGCAGTGGGGTTCCCTGCACCCCAGTGGCCCTGGGACCCTTAGCCAGGCTGGCCCCGTGGCCCCGCAGTGAGTCCTGCTGTGCACAAGATCCCTTCCATATGGGAGCAGCCAGCGGAACTGCCAGCTCCCAGCTCCAGCGCTTGCCTCTACATCTGGAAACTCTTCTCACCCTTAATTGTTCCTAATGCCTTAACACGCAGAGTGACTAATAAGACACTAATTGGGCAGCGTTAGCAGTGAGCGGAGCAGGAGCACGCTGGCAGTGCCCTCCATGCTGAGCCACCCGCTCCCAGCACGGCGCTGCCAGTGCCATAAATCCCCACAAACCCCAGTGCCTTTCCCTGCTCGACCTTCCGGGTGCAGCAGAAAACCCACCCCAGCAGCAGGGAGCACAAAATGACACCTCTTTTAGCTCCATCTCATGGTCCCTGTGCCCCAGGAGCCGGTGGAGGGAGGGCACGAGGCCCCCCCACCCAGCAGGGATGGCCCACACACTGTCACCCCTTGAGCAGAAAGGCACCAGGTGCCCAATGCCCCATCGCTCCCCATCGCTGGCACTGCTGAGTCCTCATGCCACTGTGCTGCCTCTGGTCACATACGGGCACTGCCACGATGGGCCTGTGCTTGGCACTGCCCGCACTGAGCCCAGGAGAGAAGACAAGTGATGAGCAGCAGCGGGAATGCACCTGCTCCAGGTGATTTACGGCGGCTGGGGAGCCGGGGCAGGAAACGGCTGCACTGGGGACCTCCCGTGCCCAGAGAGACAGGGGTGACAGCCCCCCACTGCTGGAGCTGCCTGCTCTCCCTGGGAGCTCCCACGGGGCTGCCAGCCCTGCCTGCACATCCGCTGGCAGCGCCACGCTCGCCAGAGCCGCTCGACAGTGGGAAAGAGGCACAAATCTTGTTACACACTGGCTAAGCCTCCCTGGGCATGTTTTCTATAAATCTCCTGGAATTTATTATATGATAACTAGCCTGGAAAAGCTAAATTAAATCCACAGCCAAGAAACTGACTTTCAAGTGTGACCTAATTTAGTTGCTGGAAGGGGAGGGATGGAGCGGGGATCCCGGTGCCAGTCGTTCCCGGGATGACCTCTCGGTGCAGCCGCACACCCCCGTCCTCCTCCTCACCGTGACTTTGGGGACGGAGCTGTGCAGCCTTTCATGTCTGAGCGGATCTCACACTCCCACTCTCTAGAACAAAAGCGCCTCAAGGGCTCCCCTGTCAGATGTTTTCCATTGCTCATCTCCAAGTCTTCCTTGAAGGAGCACTCTCCTCCGGGGGGGTGCTCTGGCAGGTTTGGGAATGATGGGGAGAGTCGCCGCAGGGGCTCTGCATTGGCATGTTCCTCCCTGCTCTGGGCTGCTCCTCACCAGCCCAGTGAGCCCGAGCTTGCCACCAGCACCCACACAGTCCATGGCCAGCAGCCACACACAGAGGCCAGCGAGGGGGACGGCTCATGGGAGAGAGAGGGAAAGCAGCAGGGAGAAAACCTGGATGGGGAAGAGACTTGGTGGCCTGAGCTCGAGTGAGCCCAGAGTAGGTCCTAGCAGCAATGGCTGCACCAGCCCCACAGATGAGGCACATCCCCCAGGACGGGCACATCCCTCCCAACGCAGGAGCAAAACATGCATCATGGCTGGGGTGACAGCCCCCCAATAAACTGCACAGCCCCAAGAGCCAGACATGCCCCAGTACAGCGCAAAGTCCCGGGAAGAACTCCCAGCACTCCCACTTCAGCCAGGACGCTTACGACGGGCAGCTCCTGCACACCACGGAGCTGTGGGGCCGGGTAGGACCGAGCACACCCTCACCCCAAACCTACCCGACCATGGGGCTGCTGGCTCTGGGCAGGAGCAGGTGGCAGGATGCAGGAGCATGGTGCGGGTGGCGCGGGCAGGGCCCACAGTGAGGGCAACGTGGGCAGAGTGGCACCGTGGTGCTCTGGCAGACCCGGGGGTGGGCTCAGGGCTGGCACGCGGGCGCGTGCTGTTGTTCTGGAACGGAGTGCACTGGCAGAGCTGCATGTGGGAAGCTTGCATAATAGTGCCAGCCCACACTACGCCTGCTCCTTCCCAGCATGATCAGCCCCTTGCTTTCATGAGCAATAACATCCACCCAAAGTTTTCTAAAAGACAAAAAAAAGAGCTTCAAGGTGATGCACAGAGCTCAGCTGCCTTTGCTGCCTCTGAACTGATGAATGCAGCTGGGGAATCCATCTGCACAGCCTCTCTAATCCCGGCTCGGGATGACCTGTGCCCCAGAGTGACGAGGAGCCTCAAACTCTCACTCCCATTTCATGATTCCCGAGCAGGCACTTGGGGCTGGGGCACAGTGGAGGAGCCGGTGTGCGGCGAGCAGCACTGCAAGGGGGGCACACACAACCCCCCCTCACTGGAGCCAGACAGTGATGCACAGCTCCACGGGCACTCCCACCTGCCCGGGCACTCCCCTCAGCTCATGCAAGGGGGAGAAGAGCCCTCAGCTCTGGGGGTCCCCCCAGCACTCCCCTTGGCTCATGCCAGTTGGAGAAGAGCAGTCCCAGCTCTGGGAGTCCCCTCAGTGCAGCAGTCAGTGGAGAGGGCACTGGAAGACACATGCAGTGGCAGAACAACCCCAAGCAGAGCCCAGTCCCTGGTCATTGCAGCTGCCACAGCGCTGCTGCAGCCCCTCTGAGTGCCTGCCGTGCCCCTGGGTACTCGCAGCGCTGGGAAGAAATGGGGAGGATGTCTCATCTGGAGGAGAGAATCCTACTGCCTTTGAGAAGTTTAAATTTTAACTCCTCCTCAAGCTGGTGCGAGCTCCCAGTGCGGGCTGGTGTCAGCACGAGGGGGGTTCCAGTCCCTGTAACATGAACTGACGGGGCGGGTTCAGCCCGGAGCACATGGAGCTGTGCACGCAGCCCCGAGGGGGGTTTGCAGCACGGTCGGTGCCAGGAGCTGGTTCTTGGCGGGTCCAGCCAGGCTGCGACGTGCAGGGCTGTGCGTGCATTGTGGTCACACGCTCCCCTGCCCGTGCTGGGGGACCACCCAGGTCCCACACGCTCTGGGACCTCCATGCTCCTGCAGTGAGCAGGAGAGAGATGGCTGGGACTGATCCCTAGGCAGGACCAGACCCCTTCACCTCACGTGCCATGAGGACCAAAGCAGGCATGCCTTCTCCTTGTGATGCTCCCTTTTCCAGGTCATCACACAAGAGTCTGGACCCACAGGATCTGTACCCAGAGCCGGTGCAAAGCACCTGGTGGGCTGATTGGGGGCTGTTGCCCCAGGCACAGCCGTGGGAAGCAGCAGTTTCATCCTCAACAGAAAAATACCTCCATGCCCTCCCCTACATGGACTGCTGGGTGGGAACAACGTACCTGAAGACCAAGAGCAGGTGCCTCAGGCGCAGTGGCAGGCAGGAGCTCACACTCGTGTTCGCCCCTCGGAGCCGTCAGGAAGAGCTGTTGGGGTCTCACAGCAGCAGCTTCTCAGCCTGAAAGAGAGAGGGAGAGGCTCCAGTCCCGTCCCTGTGTAGGCACCACCACTAATAACGGAGGAGGACGTGGCAGAGCTCGGCGCCTCAGAACACCACGGCTCCAGGGACTCACACACGCTTGGCCCACTCCTTCAAACAGCACAATTATCTCATGGCTGGGGGGCAGCTCTGGAGCAGCCCCTTACATGTGCAGAGGCAGGACCCTGCCCACTGGTGAAGCCCCCCAGGAGGGGGAAGCATGGCCCTGGAGAATGGGGTTTGGTAGCACAGGGCGCACGGGAAGTCCCCAGCTCAGGATCCCCAGTGGGACACATCCCGGTCTCTGCACTGATGCAGGATGCTGAGGCTGGTCCTGCCTCTCCAGAAGCACCAGCCCTAGCCTCAGATGAGCACCTGGGATGGAGACAAGGAAAGGCAAATACTTCCTAAGGGAAAAAACACCTGTTCCCCCAAAGGCTCCCCGGAGGCTGCCCACAGCCCCACATGTACTTTTCTCCAACCCAGGTTGAAGAGGAAACAATTTAACAGCTTGTCCCCTATTTTAATGGGACTTTTTCCCTGTTCCCCTGGGCAGCCCATCCTTCCCAGCACAGAGTGGTGACGTCCCCCCTGCACTTCAGCCAGGCAGCCCCCCTGCCCGCCGTGAGTTATGACGCCTGCACCGTGCAGTGGGATGGGCTCGGAGCACCGGGAGCTGAGATTTATCCCCTCAGCAGAGCAGGGGCAGAGGCCGGGAGATAAGTCACAGCAGAGCTGCGGGAGCGGCGCTCAAGGTCCTCCAAGGTTGGCTCATTAAAAACCGAGGAGAAGACGAAGGAAAAATCTGCCCGCAGTGGTGTGGCTGCAAATCCCCCCCCTGCTGCCAAACCAGCATGGCCAAGAGGGAGGTGGGAAGGGAGTCAGGACCCCCAGGCCATCTCTGCAGCAATCTCCAGCGCAGCCTACTGGCCTGGACCCCGTGAAGCCACCAGTGTCCCCCAAACACCATCCCAGCACATCCCAATAACCACAGCAGCACAGGGTCCGGACAAGGATACACTTCCCAGCAGCACAGGAGCAGAGAGCCAGTAAGGAGACAAGGGCAACCACAGAGCTGTTCAGATGCTGGCCCCAGGACCAGCTGGAGCTGCACACACTGGGACTGGCACCAGCAGTCACCCAGCATGCCAAGCCCACTGCTCGGAGTGGGCACCATCCCCACGACAGGCACCATAACCAGTTTGGGGACAGACCAAAGAAAATCCATAGAGATGCAGTGAACATCACAGGCACTCCCCAGCCTCCCCAAACTTGCTGGAATTCCCCTCCTGTCTCATTAGTCCTGCTCATTAGGGTTTGCTCCTGATCAGCAGGCAGAGCTAGAGCTCAGTGCAGTATCATGCTCACCAGCCCCTCCATCCCAACCCCTTTAATGCTGGTCTGTCACAGCCGGCCCCCTAAGGCCCTCCTGGTGTCCCCAGTTCCCTTGCTAGTTGTCCCCTAATATCCCCTTGGCTGTCCCCTCCAGCAGACACTGCCACCAGCCTGTCTTCCCTCTGCCCTGGGTGGTTTGTGTGTGACCAGGAAGCACAGCTGAGCCAGGGGTTCAGTGGGGACTCACACTGTGGGGTTTGCCCAAGACTGAACCACCCATGCACGTGCAGTGAGCGCAGGACATGATAAACACTGGGAAAATCCAACAGCATCCCTGAAACAAGCTGAGCACAGCAGGATTTTTTTCAGCACCTTCTATTTTCAAAAGCAAACCCACGTGTGTGCTGGGGATGGGGATGGCGTGTTCCCCACTGCTGTCGGGGGCCCAGCAGCATCCCTCACCTGCCAACAGCATCCCTCACCATTGGCAGCATCCCTGCAGCACCCCCCTGCAGGGAAAGCGATCCAGCCCCAGGAGGGATGGGAAAGTAGATTGCAGATCCCCATGGGGCATCTCCCCCAGGAGCCACCGGGCTTTTACTACACACTAAACAACAGCGATTAGATCGACAAGCCAACCCCTGGAAGGCTGAGCGGTTTTATCAAAGCCAGCAGCACCCCAGGGAGGAGATGGAGAGATGATGCAGCTGCCCGCAGCATCTGCAATCCCAAGGCCAGCCCGGCGGCTGCTGCAGGGGGGGCAGGACCAGGGCTGTACCTGCTCATTTTCGGGAGGCTGAGCCCCTGCCACTGCCCCTGCACTCCCATGAGGACGCTGGTCCCTGGTCCCAGCCCAGCACACTCTGCCAGACCCCACCATGGCAACGGGGTGGCACAGAAATGCCCCTCAGCAGGGCAGGGCTGGGGCTGCAGTGGGGGCCTGGGGGGCCCACAGTGGTTTTCCCTGGATTGCAGAGGAGGGGGGAGAGGAATTTTCTTTCAGCAGTAAACTCACTGAAGCAGCACTTGGCGCCTGTGCAGCCTGAGATACAGCTCCTGCTCCAGCCCAACCAGGAGCTATTTCCCACTTATCTCTGCCGTGGCTGATATCTGTGCAGCAGAACACGGCACTTGGTAATAGGATTTTGATGCTAAACAGAAGATGTTTTTTCCCTGGGTCTCACTTACGTCACACCTGGAGGTATCCATGGCCATGGAGGTGACACAGAGGAAGGCTAAAGAGTTTCAACTCTTGCGCTGAGGGAGCAGCTTCTCCTTTAGCTGCAAAACAGCAGAATTTCAGTGATCTAATATGAGCTGCCCGCGTCGTGCCCCCATCCCAGCACAGCCGTGGGAAGAGGAGGGAGGAGAACACGGCCCTGCTACTGCAGCCCAGCTGATCCCCCTGGGGATGTGCCTGCACCCCACGGGCATCATCCACTCCCTGTGGGCATCACCCGCTCCCAGTGCTTCCCCAGCCCTGGGCACTGCTGTCAACTGCATCCCGTGCCACGGGGACCACCCACACATCACAGCAGCAGCGGCATGAAGCCAGGCTGGGGTGGTGCAGCCGCGCTCACAGCTGCCTCGGGGAAAGGGGAGGAAGGCTTGTCACCTCCCTGCCACCCTCCTCCCTATCTGAGTGAAAGGAAGGTCCCACGCACCCCTGGCTGCTGAAGACTGGGAAAGTCTCTGCCTGCCACAGACAAAACTGAAGCGATGGGAACCACCCCCGCTGGGCGCAGGTGACATCTCACCCGTGGGAACGTGGGAACGCTGCCGGCGGCGTCAGGGCTGTCACTGCTCCACGGCACAAACTGGGTGACAAAGGGCACCGGCAGAAAAGCCAAGGCTGGTGGTGGTGGGAGAGTCTGGCCAAGGTCAGTGTGTCGGGCCGGACTCCAGCACGCTTGGCCAGGCTGACCACAGCCCTGCCAAGAGGTGCTCACGGGGCACACAGTGACTGTGGGGGGCACGCTGACCACAGGGTCCCACACTGACCATGGAGTGCACACTGACCACAGGGTCCCACACTGACCATGGAGTGCACACTGACCACAGGGTCCCACACCACCACAGCGAGCAGCTCCAGCCCTGGCAGCGACGGTGCCCAGGGAAGCAGGTGCCCAGGGAAGCAGGTGCCCAGGGAAGCAGGTGCCCAGGCCAGCCCCGCTCCAGTTGACCCGAGGAGCACCCCAGCACCGCAGGGAGGGAAGCACAGCATGTGCAGGCAAGCACAGCACTGGCACGGCCATGCCACCACCGACCCCATCCCACAGGGACTGTGCGTTGGGCAGCACATGCCCCAGAGCCAGGGCAAGATGGGCAGCCCCTGCAGCAGGGACAGGGGTGCCAGTAGCCAGGCCAGCCCCCACTGTGGGACAGGGATGCCAGTAGCCAGGCCAGCCCCCGCTGTGGGGACAGGGATGCCAGGAGCCAGGCCAGCCCCCACTGTGGGGACAGGGATGCCAGGAGCCGGTCGCAGTCTGTTTTCCTGCACAAGTGCATTAAGCATTCCACACAGCACTTTTGCTGTAAATCACTTCCTATTCAGGCTCACTGCTGAGGGTCTCTGAAGGTCGATTTTCCATGGTTATGACAACAAAAACTAAAATTGGGTCAAACCTGAAAGGTATTATCTTCCTCCAAGCTGCTAAATGCACAATAGTAATGAGGTTGGTTAAGCAGTTCACCCCCAGCCCGCATTATTTGCTCTGAAGATGTATTAACCAGTTAAATGAGCGTGATAAGGCAGCTCTGCTCGTTCCTCCCACCAGCCGCACGGAAGATCTGAGGTTCTGGTCTCTGCATCCTGGCTAATAACCGGGACCGCAGCCCCGACGACAAAGGCGGTCACAGCGCCCCGGGCCAGGCTGTGCCCGGCCTGACCCGCGGGAACACAAAGGCAACTTTAAAGGCATCCAGCGGCTCAGAGCCATTGGTAAAAATAATTATCCTTCCTCCTCCCCTTTCTCTTTCTTCTTCTTAATGCTCTCCCCCATCCAACCTCCTGATGAAAGAAGGAACCCGCCAGCCGCCCCAGCAGAGGCGGTTCAGCAGCATCCCTGCGCCAGGATGGGGGATTATCCCTGGCAAACACATGCAGATGACCCGGCTGCCACTGCTGGGCATGGGACCAGGGGGAAAAACCCACCCAACCACCTTGCAAGCACTGGAGGTCACCTCACAATGGTACCCAGAAGATGCTGCGTGCCCAGGGCAGAGCTCTCCGTACGGACCTGCTGTAGGGGGTGTGGGGCTAAGGCTGCCTAGGGCACCCACCTCGGGAATCCCCACCCCAGCTGGGCTGTGGGGCTGGTTGTGGGACACAAAAAACATTTGTTTTTACAGGATTTCTGCTGTTTTTCCTAAAACAAACACCCATTAATTTAAATATAACTGATGTAAACAAGCACGACCCTAAAATCCATGTGCAGCTGTATGGAACGGGGGAGAGGGAAGGAGGGAGGGGAAACACTTTAATTAATCCCTAAAATGAATGAGATGGGAAAACTTAAACTACAGGGAAAGCATCTGGTGCTGCTGCAGGAAGGGGCTGCCCAGGAGTGGGTCGTGCTCTGCTGTGTGACTGCTGGAGCTGCCACACCAGCCATTTCAGGGCACCAGCCCACGGGTGG